GCATGTTTATTGGAAGAGTACAATCGATCATATGCCAAACGAAATACGATGAAGAAAAAATCCCAAACTCTCTTGCATATTGGATCAAAAAGGTCCTTCGTCCTATCAAAAACTCAACTTGCAAGCAACCACTGCAAGATAGGAAACAGACACCTATGTCACTCCAATCCTTAATAGTTTTCTAATTATGGTGCATTAGCTCGTGGTTGCACTCACTGATTCAAACTGCTGACCGATGATTGAGCAGAAAAGATCAGAGAGACCCTGATGAAGATACTCCTCAACAAAGTCCCTCCGCCTCGCCGCCGGAATGACGTGAAGAAGGAATTCAAGCAGTTGTGATTGTGTGTCATAGTCCCCAAGCGAACGCAAATGAGCGGCAAGCGATGTACTGAAGTAAAAACAGTAGAAGTTTTGGCAGCCAACATATTTTGATCTCATTTTAAAAAGTCGATTCGCCGTAACTGAGCAAATGTTGTGATAGAATAGCTTCTCTAATTCTCGAGAAAAAAGACCAAGGTTGAAAGTTCAAATAGGATCCTGTAGCGTAGATTAAAACTCTGAAGCCTAACCCCAACGATGAGTAAAAGATTAGAAGGTGAATAAACCCATCTCAGGAAAAACTGTGTTAACTTCTCATAAGCCAAAATGCGAATTGTGATCCCAGAAACTTGAAGAAGTCGAAAGAAATCCGACGGATGAACAAATTGGGCATTAAAAGGAGGCTTTGATGGAATCATTTAGTATTCATCTGATAAATAAGTAATGGGGATCCAGAGAGAATAATAGAAATAGGATCCGGAGCCACAAGGGAATAAATTTAAATATTTAAAGCAATACAAGTGAGACATAAATAATATATCTGACAATTTGTTCGGAAATAAGCAAGTGACAGGTACTAAATAGCATCCGTGAGAAAGTAATTGCAGAAGCGTCAGTCATCTATGGGCTGCTGACAGGTTCAAGTCATTTTACCGAATAACAGCCCTTAAGCAAGTAAGTATTTTCAGGAGAGCTAAAAATAA